TAAACAGCTATTAAAAGAAACAGTGCGCAATGACAATGGCTACCCTTTATACAGCCGCAGAGCTCCCGAAGATGGTGGCAGGAAAGTTACAATCAAATCTCGCTCTGGAGCGTTCGAAACCTTAGATAACAGCTGGATTGTCCCGTATTCGCCCATTCTATGTAAAATGTTTAATGCCCAAATTAATGTAGAAGCATGTAGCTCTGGCCGCGCAATCAAGTATATTTGTAAGTACATAAATAAAGGAAGCGACCAAGCAATATTTAATCTCAGGAGTGAAGGTGAGGCAAACCCGAACACCTTTGCCTCAACCTTCACTCTACTCAGATTGCTGTACACTTAGAAAATGGCGAGCGTGTATATTTCACCGAAAGACATTTCCAAGAAAGAATGGCATCACCGCGAAAAACTACACTAACAGCCTTCTTTCAACGTTGTCAAACCGACCCCTTTGCAAAAACGTTGTTATATTCTTAAATCCCCCGCTATTATACTTGGAACACATCTAGGAAGGAGTGGAAACGCCATATTGAAGGCGCGCCTGTTGCAAATTGGCCCGGTATAAAGTCATCTAATGCCCTTGGTCGTGTGTTTACCGTCTATGTAACTAATTTTGAATGTTTCTGTTTACGATTGCTGCTGCACCATGTTCGGGGTCCTACAGGATATAAAGACCTTAAAACTGTCAACGGTCAGGAATGCGCAACTTATAGAGAATCATGTGAAGCTATGCATCTTTTAGAAAACGATAATCACTGGGATGAAACCATGGAGGAAGCTGTGCAGTGCCAGTCACCAGCCAAAATTAGGGATCTTTATGCAACTCTCATATGATCTTGCGGGCTATCTAATGCACATGAATTGTGGGACAAATATAAAGAGTACATGGCGGAAATATATTTTGCGAAGGTTACAGTAGACACACGCGAACATGACATACAATGAACACATTTATAATGAAGTACTTGGAAAAATTGAAGATAAAGTAATGGCAATGATAGGCAAAAAATTAAGCGACTTTGGAATGATAAGCCCTCAGCGAACGACCGAAAATGAACTAAGTGATGAAATTATACGTGAAACAAAGTACGATATACCAGCTTTGCAGCAGCAAGTAGCCAAATTTGTACCCCGCTTGCTTCCCGAACAAAAACGAGTTTTTGACAAAGTATTAGGACAAATTGAATCTGGAAATGGTGCACTTTTCTTTTTAGATGCCCCTGGAGGAACTGGGAAGACATTTTTGTTAAATTTATTATTAGCGCAAGTGCGGAAAGATAAAAACATTGCTGTGGCCGTAGCTTACTCCGGTATAGCCACCACGCTGCTAAGCGGGGGGCCGCACTGTACATTCTGTTTTAAAACTGCCTCTAAATCTAGCCCAGGAAGAATCGCCGATCTGCAACTTTAGCAAAAATAGTGCACGAGGTATAATGCTACGACAATGCTAATTTTTATTGTGGGACGAAAGTACAATGTCGCATAAAAAAGCTGTAGAAGCACTAAATCGAACGCTCCAGGATTTGCGCAGCAACCGATGTAATGGGAGGAATGGTGGTTTTACTGGCTGGTGACTTTCGCCAAACTTTACCTGTCATTCAAAAGGGCACACCTGCAGATGAAATTAAAGCATACCTCAAGTTGTCTATTATGGAACAAGGTGACAAAATTCAGTTTAACTACGAATATGAGAGTGCATTTGTATAATGATATCAATGCTGGAAACTATGCTGACACACTATTAAAAATTGGCGATGGGCGGTTGGAAACGGATGCTGGGGGCTGCGTTAAATTGACGAGATTTTTGTAATTTAGTACAGAGTCATTCCGAATTAATTGCGAGCGTTTATTCAGATTTAACGAACAACATGCATGAAGACAAATGGTTATGTGAAAGGGCGATTCTTGCACCAAAAATGAGAGCGTTAACAAAATAAATTCAGATATATAAAGCGAAGTAGCAGGAGAAATAACAGAGTATTTGTCAGTAGACACAGTTATGGACACAGAACAGAGCACTTCATATCCCGCAGAGTTCCTAAATTCTCTAGAGTTGTCAGGTGTGCCCTCACATAAGCTTCAATTAAAATTAGGCGTCCCAGTCATGCTAATGCGAAATTTAGATGCTCCTCGGTTATGTAACGGGACAAGGCTGCGTGTGACACATCTTGGACGGAACATAATCGGTGCTACAATTTTGACAGGCGTAGGAAAAGGTGAAAATGTTATTATACCACGGATCCCTATAATTCCCACAGATCTTCCTTTTCAATTCAAAAGTTTGCAGTTCCCTATTAAGCTCAGTTTTGCAATGACAATTAATAAAGCGCAAGGGCAAACGTTACTGGTAGCGGGGGTCAACTTAGAAAAACCGTGCTTCTCTCATGGTCAGCTACAGTATGTAGCATGTTCGCGTGTGTCAAATGCCCAGAATATCCACATTCTTTCCCCGAATAAAAAAACATATAGCATTGTGTACAGTAGCGTCTTAAAATAGTGTTCAGTTAGTTTTTTTTTTCCAATATTCCCACAATCAATTAATCAGAATTCTCACAGATATTCCCGTTCAATTCAAAATTTCCTATTTAGCTAAGTTTCTTTTCAATTCCAAATGTTGCACCTCTGACGGACCTATTAAGCTCAGTTTCCTTTCAACTCAAAAGGCTGCATCTCTGACGGATCTTTTATTTGGCTCAGTTTCCTTTCAATTCAGAAAACTGCATCTCTGACGAATCAATTTAGCTCAGTTTCTTTTCAAAAGTCTGCATCCTTTCCATCATTTAATTAAAAAAATATCCCATTTCCATTTGGAATAAACAGGCTATTTTCATGCTTTCCTATACGCTGCGTTTCAAAACATTTAAATAGGCTGACGAATCAATTTTGCTCAGTTTCTTTTTAATGGCTATATTTGTGACAAATCTATAAAACTCAGTTTTCTTTCAATTCAAAAAGCAATGGATAGTTCATTTCCCAGTGACCATGCGGGCAAAGCCGCGGGTATGTAAATAATTTTATTTAATTCAGATATGAATCTTTTTATTCCACTTGCAACAGCTCCTCTTCCCTTTCACTTGTTGATGCTTCGAATGAGCCTGCCACGCTACGTACGCTAATATACGAAGAATCTCAAAAATTGTTAAATTGTTTTCACATTTACCATTTAAATGTACAAAGTATTCCTCAACATCTTACGGAGCTCCTAGATACCTTCTCTTTTAATGCAGTTCATGCTATATTCATATCCGAAAGCTGGCTCAAGCCTGAACTCTCTTCCACGTCTTATAGTCTTCCAGGTTATATTTTACTCCGTACCGACCGCACTGGTAAAAGAGACGGAGGTGTCGCTATATATCTGCGTAGTAATTTACCTTATAAAATATTAAACACATCTTCTTCCCTATATTCCGGTTCAATGAAATACATTTTTGTTGAAGGTAATGTCAAGAGTGTCAGTGTTTCTTGGAGTTGTCTACTGTCCACCTCAAGTGGACTACTTCTCCGACTTGGAAATAAATTTATTGCCTTACAGTTCTGTCTACACACATCACATTATAATGGGAGACTTTAACACTGAGCTATCCGGGGTTTCTCTTAAGTCTTCGAAACTGAGGTCGACCATGTTGTCGCATAATTTCACTATTTTGCCTCTAAATGCAACACATCACAACTTCCACTCTGCTGACACCTGGATTTGCCTTATATCCGTCTCCTTCGTTGATCACGTTGTTAATTATAGACAATTCCCTCCTTCTGGATTTTCCACGGCATGACCTGCTTTATCTGTCATATAAATTAAAGTCTTTGATTATATACATGTCTAGATAATGTTCCGCTGCAATCGCAACAAAAACAACAGGCCAGATTTGAAGCGCGTGTATTCGTGTTACGCACACAAATAAGCGTAGCTTACACTGCGCGCGGCTGCGCGCGCATCACGTGGGAGCGTACTGAGTGATACAAGCCCTTGAATATTTCCCATTAAAAGAGGGAAAAATATGATGTTTTGATTTTGAGAAAATTATCTCTAAGTAATTTTATTTTAAATTCAAATTCATTTAATCATGATTTTATTCATATATTAGGAGTTTGTGAATATGAATTGCTAGGTAAAATATATTTTAAATAGAAAACATATTGCTATTGAAGGTTATTTATTCTTAATATTATACTTCGGAATTACTTAACAACAACATTATATACTTTTATAATTGTATTGAAAATAAACATTTAATTTTAGTTATATGCTATTTTCAGCAGGAATCTTAGTGACCTTCTCGTTGAATTTGTTTTTTAAACAGTTTTCGTTTAGATGTCACATCCCGGTTGTTATTATCTAATTTTGTCTTATATAGTAATATCTAAAATCCAAATATTTTTCCACAACCAGTCTTATTAAATTAACTTCATGTAGAAGACCGCAGACATGATCAGTTTTCACTTCGAAATAATTAGTACCTCCAACAAATTGTTTCATTACAGTGGATACTATTTTTGCATAATTGATGGGCGTCATTATAAAATCTTGTTTAATAAACTTCCTTATAACACTTTCAGCAGTTTTACATACATGATATACATCATGAGAGCGCAAATCATATTTTTGTCTGATTGATTTATTTTAACTTTTAATATTTTAAAAGCATCTTCTGTCAAACCCGGGGAGCCATCAATATTTAAATACCATTTGGATAAGGTTTTCGAGTGTGCGAGGCAAGTCTCAAATTTACTTCTGACGTAGCTATACGCCTTTGGAGATAATAAGTGTAATGTTAAACAAAATTTTCCAAATTCTGGAGCATTCTTTTTAATCGGTCTCTTGGACCCTTTTAGCTTTTTATTCATATTGGAATATAGATCCGCAGCAAACACATTATCATTTAAAATATTATGAGTGTCGTTGTCGATATATCTCTCTTTTTTTAGCGTCCCAATAATTTGTTTAAAAATAGCTATTTTCTTTTTAAGCCGTAGGTTTTTAGGTCTTAAGGATTGGATCTTTAGAGTTTTTTTTTGTAGCCGTATTCTTCTTCGTAATTCTCGAAGCAATTTAATTTTTTTTTTGGAGTAACGAAAATAGATTCAAGATCAGAAAAATCATCAATGATATCACTTTCATCTTCTTTTTTCCGTCCATCTCCGATTTTACTACCAGTTGCTTGCCCAGGTATATGATTACTAATACTGGCAGATTCTATGCCTGTAAAATTGCTAACGTTGGTGTCAGAAGTTTCCATACAACAAGAATAAGCATATTGCTTATTTTTTGTAGCACGTAAAGATCCCTCTTCATTGGATACCAAAATTTTCTGAAAATAAAACTTAGTTTATGTATATTGCGTAATACACACTAAAATCTTCCAATTTATTATAGTAGACGGCAAATTCAGAAAAACGGCTCTAAAAATTACCAAAACACACGAAGGAAGAGAAACTTGAATACACACACTTTCTTATTTGATTCAAAACTATTTTTGTAAAAAATAAAACTTACTGCATCATCTAAAACATTTGTTACACAATCGCATTTTTTCCTGTTTCTTCATTAAGCTGTTACTTTCATCGTCATCTGTTTCTAATGACGTTAAGAATAATGCCTGTAAAATATAATAAAATAAAAAAAATCGGCCAAGTGCGAGACAAACTTGTACATTATGGATATTTTCTTAAAACAAAAATATGTAAGTATAAAATTACCTTGCACGGAATAGCTTCCTTTTTTAACCTTTGACGACTTTGGTTGTTGGCAAAATACAGGTCTTTGGCACGGAAATGATCAGAGCAAATAACTGCTGTTTTAGGTGGTTGCCAGAGATGCTCTCTGCGGCTTTTTCTTATAATTTCTATCCACCTACTTCTTAAAATGGGATCTTTAGATATTCTGTAAAAAAATATGAATTAAAAGTTTAAACAACAACGGCTTTAGCACTTAAACCTTTCTCAGGTTTTATCATTTTAATAGGTAAACTACAATTTCATTACAGTTAGTGTTTAATCCTTTATTTTTATAGTACGTAGAATACATTACACAAACATTTTTTTAAATTAAATAACGCTCACATGGGAAATTTTCATTCAATTAACAGGCAACCCTGTAAATCTGTCGTCAAAATGGCGGTACATCTTTAGATAAAATTTAGCTTTATTAATTTAATTTTCCTTTATAATATAGTTATTTATAGTATACTTACCGATGATAGGTAACTTTTTTGGTTGTTTTCAATCGTCCTTTGTAATTCCTGCACACTTTTATAGCGCAAATCGTCATTTTTAAAATACCACTGAATACACGTGTTTACCGTACGATGACAGTGTCGCCACTGAGCGGGCGGAACGAGCTTATGAGACAACAGTTGGCTGATATTTTTTGGCGTTTAGAAGCTCGAACTCTCTATCTAGACATGTATAATCAAAGATATAATCATATATAATCAAAGATTAAAGTCTCACAAGCCTTTATCTGTGTCCATCTCTATTCGTAGTCTTGTTAGAATAGATATGGACAAGCTTAAATGCGATGCTGATGCTATTAACTGGTCATCTGTATATACTGCTTCAACGGTTGATGAAAAAGTCGACCTCTTTAACAGCAACATATTAGGACTATAATAAACATGCTCCTAAACGTGTTGTTCGACTGAAGCGTCCTCCTGTTCCATAGATCACGATTAGGGTAAGAATGGCTATGGCGAAACGCGATAGAACTTTCCGTGCTTTCAAGAAGAATCGCACTGATGTAAAGTGGCAAGCATATAAAGCTGCAAGAAATCGATGCAATCAGATGGTGAGAGCTGCAAAACGCCGATATATCCCCGAACAACTACTTAATTCGTCTTCGGCTGATATATGAAAGTTTCTGAATACGCTTGGATATAGAAAATCGCAATTTGACTATAATAGCGTCACCTTTTCTCCTGACGATTTTAATCGTCATTTTCTGTCTTCTCAAATAGTTTCTGATAATTCCAGAGCTAATGCTATCTCTTTTATATCTTCCATGCCTCCTTATTCTCATGAAACTTTCACTTTTACTCCTGTAGACGAAGACGAGGTACGCAAAGCACTTTCCTCTATTAAATCGAAAGCCGTTGGATGTGATGATGTGAGTAGGATAATGGTTTTGTACATGTTGGATTCTGTTTTACCCGTGATAACTCATATAATTAACTTGCTCGCTGACGAATGGTGCTTTTCCAACTCTCTGGCGTAAAGCCTTTATTATTCCAGCGCTTTATCTAATTTCAGACCAATTTCTATCCTGCCTTTTCTTTCTAAGGTTCTGGAAGCTGTTGCTCATAAACAGATTTCTTCTTTTGTTTTCTCAAAGAATATTCTTTCCCCTTTATCAGTCTGGTTTCCGACCGGGTCATTCTACAGCTACTGCTCTTCTCAAGGTTACGGAGATTATTAGTGAGGGAATGGAAAAATCAAAACTGACCGTTCTCATCTTAATTGATTTTTCTAATGCATTTAATTCTGTCGATCATGGTATCTTGTTAGCTCTTCTTTCTCATTTGAATATCTCGTCTTCAGCTCAGGAATGGTTCTCAACATATCTTCGAGGGCGCCAACAGGCTGTGCGTACTGGCCATATACTATCTTACTGGTGTGGTGTCAATTGGCATCCCTCAAGGCAGTATTATCTCTCCTCTTCTGTTTTCCATTTTTATAAATCTCATCACACTAAATCTGAACAGCTCTTACCATTTGTATGCTGATGATCTGCAGTCATATGCGCAAGTGGAACCTTCAAATATCCTAAGTGCTATCTCACTGTTAAATGATGATTTGAAATATATCTCAGAATGGTCTACTGTGTATGGCATAAACGTGAACCCGTCTAAATGCCAAACGATAATCTTAGGTAGCTCAAGATTATTATCTAAACTAGATATTCCCACCCTACCATAAATTTTGCTTAATAATAATGTCATAACATTCTCTACTAATGTAAAGAACCTTGGTCTGTACATCGATGGTTGCTTAACATGAAACAAACATATACAGGAGGTGAGTCGCATAACTACTGGAACTTTGCGATCTCTATATCGATTTAAAAACTTTCTTCCCACCAATACCAAGATTTTACTTGTCCAATCACTTATTGTACCGATTATTGATTATGTCGATGTGTGTTACTCAGCCCTTTCTCAATACGTTGGATCATCTGCTTAACAACTGCATCAGATACATTTATGGTCTACGTAAATACGACCATGTATCTAGCTGAACTGCTAAACTAGCTGCCTATCCGTCAGCACAGATATGTTAGAATACTCTGCACCATTTTCCAATTTTGAAGAATCCATGTGCTCCCGAGTATCTGAAATCTAAATTTTAATACCTGGGAGATTCTCATAATTTTTCTCTCCATTCCTCGGCCAATCTTAAGTTGCTTACTCCTTTACACCGTACTGGTTATTTATCCCACTCTTTCGCCCTCATGGCCATCCGACTCTGGAACGACATCCCTCTATCCCTCTTGACATTAAAAAAGCTCCCAACAAATTCATCTTTAAAAAATCAAGTCTGTAAGTATATGATTAAATCGTTGCAACTTTGAATTAACTCAACCCTTTTTTTTCGTATATATTTCATATGTGTTCTGACGTAGATAATATTTATACTAACCTATTTGCTGTATATATATATATATATATATATATATATATATATCCATTATATATAGAATCTCCGGTGAAGGTTCGGTTGCCACCTACGACGACTCGACCTGGCAACATTTAACCCACGTACCCTGAGGACTGACGAGAAGATCCTGGAGCTGGAAGAAGAGATAGACAAGTTGCGCTGGAATATTATGGAATTATCCGAGGTCCGAAGAGAGCGGTAGGACACGGTGATTCTCGAATCCGGCCAACTTGTTCTATCACCGAGAGGGCGACCATCGTTGTAAAAATTGGGAGTGTGTCGACGAGGGTCGCGTACCTGATACTCAGAATCACCAAACGGTATTCGCTGAAGGTCATACAGGTTTACGCACCAACCTCGGCACATCCCGATGAGGAGGTGGAGGAAATGTATGAGGATATTTCCAAAGACATGCATTCCTCCAAAACCCACTACACGATGTTGATGGGAGACTTCAACGCAAAACTAGGCACAAGAGAAAACGGTGAGCTGAAGTTAGGGAAATTTGGAGTACGGCAACGGAACCGAAGGGGCCAGCGGCTGGCCGACTTTATGGAGCAAGAGGGACTCTTTACGTTGAACTCTTTCTTCCAGAAGCGGCCCCACAGGAAGTGGACCTGGTCGAGCCCCGACGGTTCGACAAAAAATGAGATTGACTTCATTATGACCACCAGATGCCAACTGTTCAGTGATGTCTCAGTGATCGCAAGGGTGAAAACTGGCAGCGATCACCGAATGGTTAGAAGCACACTGAACCTAAACGTTAAGTTGGAGAGGTCTCGTCTAATGAAGTCAACGCTCCGTCCCCATCGTGCTCTAATCCAGAATCCCGAAAACTTTCAGCTCGAGTTACGTAACCGCTTTCAGTGCCTACAAGATTGCAATGCAGTGGACGATATGAATGACAAGCTTGTTGAAACTGTCCATGCGGTCGGAGCTAAGTTCTGCAAGACTCGCCGCAGAAGAACACAAAAACTCTCCGATCACACTCTTAATCTCATGGCTGTTAGACGGGAGATGAGGCTGCAATCGTCAACAGATTTGACAGCATACAGGCAACTGAACACAGATCTCCAAATGCATGCGGCGAGACTTACGCAACTTTAATACTGCTCGTATTAAAGAAGCATTCGAGTGGAACCAGGGCTCCAAAGTCTTTGCCAGAGATCTGTCTGCCAGTAAGAGCCAACTGTCAAAGCTGAAGACTGAGTGTGGCAGCATCGTTTCCGGGACACCTGAGATTTTGAGTGAGATTGAGAGGTTCTATGGGCAGCTGTACACATCATCGTTGGAGCCACACGCAAGTGTGAGTAACGATCCAAGAGGAATTCTTATCCGACACTATTCAGACGACATCCCGGACGTCAATCTGAGCGAGATAAGAATGGCTCTCCAGCACTTTAAATACGGTAAGGCGAGGATGGAATTACAGCGGAGCTTTCGAAAGCAGGTGGAACACCGTGTTTAAAGTCCTCCAGAAGCTCTTCAATTCCGTCCTCCATGGTGGCACTACTCCAGAGGCGTGGAGCAGAAGTGCGGTGGTCTTGTTCTTTAAGAAAGGCGACAACGCTCTCTTGAAGAACTACAGACCGATTTCCCTTCTGAGCCGCGTCTACGTGCTGTTTTCAGAGTCATTACGAATCGTCTCGCACGCAGACTCGACGACTTCCAGCCTTCCGAAGAAGCCGGTTTCCGAAAAGGCTTCAGTACCATAGACCACATACATACCTTGCGGCAGATTGTACAGAAGACTGAAGAGTACAATCTGCCACTTTGCCTGGCGTATGTGGACTATGAGAAAGCCTTTGATTCCGTCGAAATTTGGGCGGTGCTACAGCCCCTTCCGCGGTGCCAAGTTGACTGTCGGTATATCGAAGTGCTGAAGTGTTTGTACAGTAGGGCTACGATGGCTATCCGAGTACAGAACCAGAGCTCGAAACCTATCCAACTGCAGAGAGGTGTAAGACAGGGTGACGTTATATCCCCGAAACTCTTCACCGCTGCATTGGAAGACGTTTTCAAGCTACTGGACTGGAAATGATACGATATTAACGTCAATGGCGAGTACATCACTCACCTTCGATTTGCCGACGATGTAGTCCTTATGGCAGAATCGCTGGAGGACTTAAGCACTATGCTAAATGACCTCAATAGTGCCTCCCAACGGATAGGTCTTATAACATGACAAAACAAAGATTATGTTTAATGTCCATGTCACACCTATGCCGGTAGTTGTTGGGAGCACTAAGCTCAAAGTTGTTGACGAGTACGTTTACCTGGGACAAATAGTCCGACTAGGTAAGTCCAACTTCGACCGAGAGGTCAATCGACGGATTCAACTCGGCTGGGCAGCGTTCGTGAAATTACGACGTATCTTCTCGTCAGGTATACCTCAAACTCTAAAAACTAGATTGTACAACCAGTGCGTGTTGCCAGTGATGACTTACGGATCTGAGGCGTGGTCCTTCACTGCTGGGTGTATGAGGACGCTCAAGGTCGCTCAGCGAGCTATTGAGAGGGCTATGCTCGGAGTTTCTCTGCGTGATAGACTCAGAAATGAGGATATCCGCAGTAAAACCAGAGTGACAGACATAGCCCAACGGATTAGTAAGCTGAAGT